ATGTTAATAAAATCTGTGGTTTTGGTGACTCAGATTCCTGGACACAAAGACCACAGTTCTTTTTCCTCATCCTTGTTTGGCTTGCATATTACACCTCAGTAAGGGCCAGAAAAAAGGAGTTTCTCTACATAGGCCATCCATAAGAATGTTACAGATACCTGGAAGGTTAATTGGTCATCAGAAGTTTGCTTGATGATCATGAAACAACAAAGGACTTTAATGATATCATTGAAGCTTTGTAGAAACCTGTTGAACCATCCCTGATCTAAAAGAAAGAATATTCCTTACTAGATTTATTCGATGGACTCTCTTGAGTAATAGCGTCAGATGATTGCCAGTATGAGAAAATGTAGGAGGAGGAGCCATACTCCTGCCATCCAAAATGATGGTAAATTGAACAAATAAGGTGTTAAACTACAAAGACAGAGAACAAAAGGAGGAAAAAATGTCTAGTAAAATATTTTTAACAAATTTTAAAAAGCCTAACCATCAGAAGATGAATGGACACAATGGAATACTAAAAATAGTATTATTTAACATAGTGAAATAAATGTACTGTATCTACATCAGTAAATCTCAAAGACATGGTGCTTAGTGAAAAAAATAATTATAAAAGAATATGTATGGAATGGTCACACATAGGTAAAATTTAAAACTACACAAAACAGTACCATGTACTGTTTATAGCTATATACATATGTTGTGAAAGTATAAATTATTTGGGAACATTACCAACTTCAGGACAGTGATTACCTGAGGAGAGAAAGGGAGAGGGGAAGAGGGAACTAAGTTTTGGCGTCCATTCAGCCTGGTTCACTCTTGGGCTCCCATAATAGCCAAGATGATCTTGGATAAGTTACTTAATCTTTCTGTGCCTCAGTTCTCTCACATATTAAACAGGAATGATAATAATAGTTCATATTTCATAGAGTTGTTGAGGATTAAATAAGATACTTCATATAAAGTGCGTAGAACAGTGCCTGGTGTATAGTAAGCATTAAAGAATTATTAGCTATGACTTTCATCATTATTATTTCTTTCCTTTTCTCTACCTGTTTAAATTCTATTTTCCCCTCAAAGTTTAGATCAAAGGTCACCTCTTTCATGGAATGTACCTTACTCATTAACTGGGGGATTATCATCATTTTCTGAATTATTGAACCACTGTTTCTTGATTCAACAAGCATTTATTAAAGACCTGCTATGTGCCATGTACTATGCTAAGACAAAAGTGAATTACACATTTAAAGGAGCTTTCAGTCTAGAAGATAGACAAACAATTACTGGAAAGACTCAGAAGCATTGAACACCATGGCTGTAGAAATTGGGTATCATGAGGTGAAGCTGCAAATGCAGTCTTAAGGGGCTAGATAATGAAGAACACTTGTATGTATATTAAGCTAGGGCATAGAGACATTTTCTTACAGATAATGGGAACTACTGATGAGTTCCTAAGCGGGGAGCAGAATGTCCAGATTCCTATTTTAAAGTAATTCATTTTTTTAAAAATTCCAGTATAGTTAACGTACAGCGATTCATTTCAGGTGTACAATATAGTGATTCAGCAATTCCATGTATTAGTCAGTACTCATCAAGATAAGTATACTCTTCCATTTTAGAGTAATTCTGGTGGAAGAATAAGGCTGTGAGTCTATGTAGAGAGCTACTGTAATGTTACCATAAGATATAATAAGGTCCTGATCTAAGGCATTAGCAGCAGGATGAATTTGAGAAATACTTAAGAGGTAGGTTTGTGGGGCTGGATAATTTTAATCCAAACGGAAACAACTAAACCCCACAGATTCTCAAAAGAGAATTCAAGGTAAAGAAAATGATGACTCTCAACAAGTTTCTGGTTTGAGTGACTGGATGAATGGAAATGTTAATTGAAAATAGAGTATTCAAGAGGATTGGCAAGTTTCTTGGTTATCTGATTTTTGGTCCTTGTCAGTAACAGACAAACTACAGCCGAAGAAGCCCATTTATATTTATCATGTTGACCCTTTGATTCAGTCATTGAGATCTTTCCTTGAAATCGAATAGGCATTTTAAACTCCTGTCCAAACCTGAATTCTTGATTATTTCTGCCAAGCCTGCCCTTCCCATAGTCTTCACCATTTTCCTTACTAGAAAATGACGTCTCCGTCCTTTCAGTGGCATAGGTTAAAAACACTGGATTCATTCTGACTCCTCTTACTCTCCTATCCACAACCAATCCTAATTCTAATTGACTCTATCTTTTCAAAATATATACCACTTGTTACCATATCTAGTGCTATTTACTATTGCAAGTCATCGTCATCCTTCCTTGCCTTCTCCCAGTCTTTTCTATGTGTAGATTGAACGAATAAGTCAGAATGTACTTATGCCCCTGATTGTACACTCACAGTTCGTCTCTTAGCGTCTTCCCCCTTTTGTCTCCACTGCAACAGCGGCCTTCTCACACTCACCAAGTGTCTTACAGTCTCAGAGCATTTGTACTTGCTGTCTGTCCATCTGGAGCACACTTCCGCCCTGTATTTCCACAGGGTAAGCTTAATCATTTTCTTCAGGTCTCTCCACTGACCAGCCTACATATAAAATAGCACTTCCTTTCCATTGCTCTCTGCCCCCTATAGTTTGCTTTATAATTCTGAAGTTCATCATGTCACTTATCCTCCTCGGACTTACATATTTATTGGATTTTTGTTTAATGTCTGTCCCTTTATTAGAATATATGGTCCCTTGAAACAAAATAGAATATAAGCTCCTGTTACATATCCTTACTACTTAGCAAAATGCTTGGCACATGGAAGGTGCTCAGTAAATATTTGGTGAATGAATTAATAATGAATGATGACCCATTAATACTATTTAAAAAAACAAATAATGGAATAATTTCTAATTTAGTAAATATGTTGATGTGCCAACTACTCTTAGCTTTCCAGAGTTCTTCATCAATAAAAGCCACTTTGTTTTCTATTTTGACCATATTTGTTTTGTTGTAAATGACTTTGTTTTTTAAATTTCATTTACTCATTGTATTCATTTGACATCTTTTATGAGTACAGTTCTGTATTCTGCAAATGGATGAGGAATAAAGAACTAAGTCAGGATTCTTGCATTTTAGAATCTCTAAAATTAATACTCATAACTTACCTTTTGCACATAGAAATACATATTTGAGATCATGTGAATTTGCTGCCAAAATCTGAACTAAAGCATTAAAATTTTTATATATACGTATGCATTTGTATATATATATATGTGTATATGAGATATAGCTGAAGAAAGGTTCCTGTATTATTGATATTGTCAAGTGCAAGACACGCCATTATGATTTTCATGTAGTCAAGTATTGTGACACATTGTATAATAATAAATATGCCTTTTTGAGAACAGCAAAATGACAGCTAATAGTACTAGAGTTTAAAAAAATGAAGATACACCTTTTCAAAGGTGTATCATTTTACCGCAGTAAGAAAGAAGACCTGTGCTTTGTTTAAACAAAACTCAGTCTGATTTGCTTTCCCCCTGACAGGTAGCTTTGGACATGTTGAATCCTCAAGTTGCTTTGCCTGTTTTATATCCAAATCTTAAACAGGGTGGTGTGTGTGCTGTATATCTAGCGAAGTGAGTAATGTGTCTATTCTTTGTAATGTGATTTTAAACACACTTTTGTTTTGTCTCAAGTAGTTGACTACAATGTTCATTTTGTAACCGAATTAGGTATATATGTCATCTTGTAAAACTGTTATGAAACGACGTATGTCCCAATTAATTTATATTGCTGTTTAAATCACCCTTTACCTGAATGGTAAAATAAGATGCATATTTCTTACAATTTAGAAGAAAAGTTTTTAAAAGTGTAATGTGAACAATAATGTTAAATCATAGTCTCTGTATATATATTTTTTTTACTTAGTAGTCTATGAAATTGCATGTTATGTGATCTAACTTGCATGTTTATATTTCCCCTTTGGTTTAACTATAGCATTTAAATTTGGGTTAAGAGGTATAGTGAACTTAAAATAAGTATCAAGTTATTATTGTAATAGAAATTTAAAGTACTTTTTTTCACTTTTCTAAAAGTATCACACAGGTTATTGAACTTTTAGATGGAATTCGCATCTGTGAACTTGCTCTCTCATGTGAAAAGATAAGTGAAGTCATTGTCAGAGATTGGTTGGTTTGCCTCGCAAAACAGAAAAATGGAACTTTAGCTCAAAAAATAGAACCTAAAATCAACACAGATTTACAATTACATTCTCAAAAGAAAATTAGAATTGAAGGTGAGATGTTTCAAGAGGATGACCATGGTGAGGTTCGATTTTATTTCATCATGTTTATAATAATAAATGGAGGATAGGTTCCTGAGTGTACTGACCAATGATTATAAAACTATTTCTGAGGGATTTGTTCTTTTTCCCTAGAGAAATTGAAATGTGGTATTTATTCTGTTAAATTAAAATCTCTAAGGGGCAGAAAAATGACTTTTCTTGCCTTTTATGTAAAATTCTGATACCTTTGAAGAATTGATATTTTTGTATCAAGGAGGTCGGCTTATGAAATACCTTAACTATATTAAAGGATGTTTTTAATTTAGGTCAGTGATTATTACTGAAGGGAAAGAATTTAATAGGACCTGATATGCAAATAGCTAATATTCCAAAAAGCAACTTCCAAGATGCTACTGGAATTCCTCAAAGAGCTAAATTTAGGTCCTTGTTGTATGATCATTATGGTCATTATTTAGGCCATGAACAAGTTTTCAAATATCCATTGATTGATGATATATAGGCTTATCCATTTGGTTATAAAACCATATATAAGCTTATCATTTAATCCTTGACAAATTGTTTCTGTAAGATAACTAGCAGAGTAGCTCCAAAACAAATGCTGAAAAAAAAAATGTTTGAGAGAAAAAACTTAAAGGGGCAGTAGTTTGTATTTTAACACTTTTATGAACAAATTATAAAATATTTTATATAGCTTATAATATATATTTTGTTCTACAACAGAAGAGTCACATTCTGATTTTCCATATGGATCATTTCCCTATATTGCTAGACCTGTACACTGGCAAACTGGTCATACAGGTGAGTGATGTTTTCAGGCCATATTAAATGTTGTTTGCTTATAATTTTGTAATGACCTTACTTTTTTGTCTCCTTAAATTAGCTTTTCTTGTCAAGCTGAGGAAGTTTAAACCACCACATAACTGAGTACCTCAGATGACAGCAACTGATTAGAAGATGGAAAAGTACCAAAATAGAACTTTATATTGTGAATCACTACTTTCATAGGTTGGAATTGTTAGCTATTACTATGAATCGTATAACTTTTACATACAATTTTGAAAAATAACAAAAGCTAAAGGAAAATGTGTAACATTTCAAAACTGTTTAAATGTCCCATTTGACACTTGTCTTGTAGTTAATTTGACATTTTGTAGTTAATGATTCCAAGTTGGTTTAGTTGAGCCATCTCATTCTTCACTTCCTGTAAACCACTCCATAGATTTGTCTTTCTTCATAAAATTAGTTTTCTTTTCTTTCTTTGATTGATGGTCATTGGCTACCAAAATAAAATATGCATTTTAAGATAAATTTTATGTATCTGTGTATTTTAAGTACATATTTTAATGGCTTGTATCTATCTTAAAAAGTAATCTGGGTTATAGTAAATAATAGGAAGAAAACTGATAATGATATAACCATCTTAAAAATTATAACAAAAGGGGGCGCCTGGGTGGCTCAGTTGGATAAGCGACTGCCTTCAGCTCAGGGCATGATCCTGGAGTCCTGGGATCGAGTCCCACATCGGGCTCTCTGCTCGGCAGGGAGTCTGCTTCTCCCCCCTCGGGGCCTCCCCCCTCTCATGTGCGCTCTCTCTCTTTCTCTCTCTCAAATAAATAAATAAAATCTTTAAAAAAAAATTATAACAAAAGATGTAACAATTCTTGAATCTCTTTTATCCTTCGCAGAATCATTTTAACTCATTTGAAAGAACATCAGAATTAATTAGGGGTTTATTATTCATAGGCATCAGTTATTTAGCATTTACCAGGTGCCCTACATTGTTTTAAGAACTTTATAAAGTTTTTTCATTTATTATGTGTAGCTCATCTTTAAGGTTATCCATATTTTACAGATAAACAAAAACTTAAGAGTGGTTAGGTTATTGTTTAAATATAGATGTTTTATAGGTTTTAAAGGGTAGTGCCTGGGAAGATAAATGCTGCTATTCCTGGGTTTATCCCTTAGGCTAGAGCTATTTAAAATAATATATATATTCTAAATAACATTTTACATATTTTTCATTATGTGGAAAATTTTAACATGAAATCTCTGCTTTTTTAGACTATAGTCTAAAAAAAGTCTAGACATTAAGTAATCACACAAATATAAAATTAAAATTGTTATAAATGCTCCAAAGAAGTACAGAGTACTATAATAGGGATTTTGCTCGGTTAAGTAATTACCTGGGCAAGTGACAATTGAGCTGAGACCTGAATGGTAAGTACAAGTTAATTATAGCAGGGAAAATGAGAACAAAAAGGCCAGCGATGCTGGGGTTGAGTGAAAGAGACTGGAAAAATAGGTAGGGGTCATCTCTCTTAAGGAGTATATCTTGTATATCTTGTATATACAAGATATACAAGTATATCTTGTATATCTCTTGTATATCTCTTAAGGAGTTTGTCCATGCTAAGAAAAATGGGGTCTCACTGAAGGATTTAGTGAAGTGACGGGTAACATGTTAAAGATCTGTGTTTTGAAAAAAAATCACTCTGCATTTCAGAAACTGATTGAATCATAAGCAGAGTAGTCTTCTGGTGTCATATTTCTAAATAGTAACTATCCGAACACTCATACAGTAATAATGGCTTTATAGTTTTCATAACATTACCAAATATCTAGAAGCTCTGAAGTACATTTTAAGTTCTGTCAAGAAATACTTCCCTTTTGGGGTGCCTGAGTGACTTCGTAGGTTAAGTGTCTGCCTTTGGCTCAGGGTGTGATCCCAGGGTCCTGGGATTGAGCCCCGCAGTGGGCTCCTTGCTCAGTGGGGAGCCTGCTTCTCCCTCTCATGCTCCCCCTGCTTGTGCTCTCTCTCTCTAATAAAAAAAAAAAAAAAATTCCCTTTCTTCTGCCTTCTATTTAACCAGTAATAAAATTCTGTCCTTCATGTATTGTTTTGAATGCAAGCTCTAATTGTACTACTTGGAGAAGGGGCTGGCTTAAGAGCAAAGAGAAGTTGTACCTTCTACTCCTATTTTTTTTTTTTTTTAAGTAGGCTCCATGCTGGGCATGGGACCCAACGTGAAGCCTGAACTCATGACCCTGAGATCAAGACCTGAGCTGAGATCAAGTCAGACACTTAACCGACTGAGCCACCCAGATGCCCCATTCTACTCCTATTTCATGTAGAATAATTAGTTTTTGTTCAGTACACTGTGCTCAATAGATGTTGAATTGAACAAGACTTCTTTAACAGTGTCCATTCTAATATTAAGCTAAATTGAAAACCAAACTACATAAGCAAATAAGCATTTATTTATATGGTTAAAATTCAGCTTAAGCCCTTTCTCCATGTCTCCACTAGAACATTAAGCATGTTTACAGTCTTACTTATGGGACAGATGCGATTTTCTAAAATTAGCTTCCTAAATGCACATCTGGCTTTCATCTACCATACTGTAAACTCCTCCAGATTTGTGACTGACTCAACTGTCTTCCTAGTACCTTCCAGAGGTCCTACCTTTTCCACCCAGTAAATGGTCAGTAAAAGTGTGCTGATGGCTATAAGCCTATACTTGATCATGTATTGTTTTATCTGTTGACTTGGTTCTAGGGAGAAATTTAGGAATATAGCTCATGGACTGTGGGAGAATTGGAGTTTGAACTCCGTACTTCAGAGGCAGTGGGGACGCCTGAAGATTCTATGGTCATGTAAAAGGAGGTATTTTTTAAAAGTTAGTCTATAAGTCTATAGTCTACGAGTATTTAAAGGAAGGAAAAAACAAGCGAATTAGGAATTAGGACACATAGTATACCTTATGAGTTGATTGGTAGTAATCTACAACCATGAGGTGAGGAAAAGGGGCAGATATAAAAAATATTGTGAAGGAATAACCAGATGAGCTGGTGATTCATTGGATATAGAGAGAATGAAGCTATGTATTTTCAAAGTTTTCTCTGTTTATCAGGAGCCCTTTCCCTTCCTTTGCTAGGCAAAGCAGGACTTAGTCAATGCTCAGCTCATATATTACTTCCTCTAAAAAGTCTTCAACAGGTCTCTCACCCTACAAAATTAATTCTGGGATCTTTGTGTTCCCAAATGTTGATCATATAATTAGCATTGCCCTATTACATCATTAATTTATAAGCCCTCATTATGCCTTAAGTATTAGGATTTTAAACCTGCATGACTAGAACAGTTGTAGTGACTGAAATAAGTTCAGAAAGGGATTTTTTTTTTTTTGAGGAAAAATTATTTGGTTTTAGATTATATAACAGTTGCAGTGTTCCATGCCTGCCTATGTGATCCAGGAATAAGTTTTGGTATATTGCTTTTTTCCTTTGGCTTCACTCTAAAATCTGAGGCGTCCTCTGCATATTCACGTTTCAGATTAATTTAGGTGTCATAAGGCTTAAAACAGCATAAGGTAAAGAGAAAGTGTCATTTAGTATAAAAATAGGCTATATATTCAGATAGAACTGGGTCCTATCTTTAAAAAAATTTTTTTTTAAGATTTTTATTTATTTGAGAGAGAGAGAATGAGAGACAGAGAGCATGAGAGGGGGGAGGGTCAGAGGGAGAAGCAGACTCCCCGCCGAGCAGGGAGCCCGATGCGGGACTCGATCCCGGGACTCCAGGATCATGACCTGAGCCGAAGGCAGTCGCTTAACCAACTGAGCCACCCAGGCGCCCAGAACTGGGTCCTATCTTGCTGTTTTTGTTGTTACTGTTGTTTTACCTTGAAACTGACTTTTCTGAGTTTGTCACTAAAATGTGTGTCATGATGCCACTTAAAGATTTCTTGAGGGGGGTGGTCAGCGTTAAATGAGACTACCTTTGTAATATGCCTGGTACAAGATTGGTGATTGTGAGGTACATAAATTCGTAAAGAATGCCTTATTTAGGGGCGCCTGGGTGGCTTAGTCAGTTAAGCATCTGCCTTTGGCTTGGGTCATGACCCCAGGGTCCTGGGATCGAGCCCCGCATAGGGCTCCCTACTCAGCGGGGAGCCTGCCTCTCCTCTCTCTGCAGCTCCCCCTGCTCGTGCTCTCTCACTTTCTCTCTGTCAAATAAATAAATAAAATCTTAAAAAAAAAAAAGCCTCTTTTATCTCCCAACCTTGTCAAAATAACAACTATTTTGTTCCTAATAAATGTCATAAGCGTGTTTATGTAAAACTTGTTTTCTGAACATGTTTTGAGAAGAAATTTTTAAAGGTAGAAAAACAGGTTTTTACCTGAAAAGCAAGAAGTTGCTTGCTTGTGTCTGAAGATAGAAGCATTGATAAGCATCTACTGCTATATTCTAGCACAGAAGCCTGGAGTACAGTATCAGCTCTTTGTGTCTCTTGTAGGAATGATGAATTGAGTTTTCTGCAACCATAAGCCATTAAGTGATTCCAACCACCTTATGTGGACTTAAGGAAGAAAATTTTGCTAGCAGAGGTCACTACTGGCAATCAGCAGCTGCTGAGGCAGTAAGAGACGGACCACTGCTCCTGAATAACATTGTGTTACCCTTAAATGTCCCCACACCCCTAATAAGCTCACTTCCAATTAAGCCTACTGAGGGAAAATGGATGTATATGTTTACTGGTCAAGTGTATGTATGATCAGTTGTTTTTCTCTATTTTGTCTACCCTCTGTCATCCTGAAACAAAAGGTTTTACATTTAACTTTAATACTCTGAATAAAAGAGGATTGAATAAATACTTGTTCCTTCCTGTAGAGGATCTGTGTATATCCTAAACCAGGGATGGGATGAAAGCACAGTTCCATTTACAACTCCCTTAAGTCAAGGGCTCCACTTCTCGTCCACAATCCCTCAAAGTCATGCTCGTTTTTTCACAGCAAACTGACTGGCAGAGCCCCTTCCTCCCTGGGTGCACTGTGCTTTCCTGTTGAGATATCAAAGCCTAAAATACAGTGTTACTACTCTTGATATCTACAGGCGCCAGTCTGAGTAAACCATAACTACTTGTGTTCTGCTTTCTATAAATATGTTCAAATTGTGGCTAGAATTGTCTCCCAATTCACTCCATACAATCTTTCATGAGGAACTTGATTCTTAATACTTTCACCACCTCCTCAGTCCTTAGTAGCCTACCAAAAGACTAATGTGGCAGCTTATTTTCACCACCAAAGGTAGGATTTCATCAAAGGGGGCAGTAGAACATAATAGGAATTCAGGCTGTAGTCTAGAGTCAGACAGACCTGGGTTCAAATGTCGCTCCGCCACTTTGGGCAAATGATTTAACCTCTCTAAGCCTCAGTCTCCTTATCTGCAAAGTAGAGATAATAGTATTTATCATAGGGCTGGCTGTGGACATTAAGTGAGATTATCAATGTAAAATGTTTAACATATTGCCTGGAACATTTTAAACATCTAGTAAATCTTACAAGAATCAAAGAGTGCAGGTAAAAATTGCTGGGATAGAGGAGAAGGATGCTAAAAGGCAATTTTTATTTTATAATTTAGCCTATGGTAGATCCTACTTACCTTCAGATAAAAGTGAACCAATAAAAATTATGCTTGGAGGTGTTGCAAGGGAAGAGACCAAACTGTCAGTCAAATTTGTTTAGTGATTACTAAGGCCAGGGAATGGAACAATGACTGAGATGTGATTCCTACCTTGAAGAGTCTTAAGAGTTTAGTTTCTCTTTTAATAAAACTTCAGTAGCCACTGTTAATCTCATAAGGATACAGCAAAAATAAATATGTGATATTCTGAAATAATACAGGTCTCATTATAGAATTTAAGAACCATAAGAAATCTGTCAGTCCTCTATCTTACATGGGTGAAAATCTGGAAGAAGGGCTTTATAAGAAGTAAAAAGGATCACTGCTAGTAGAGTGATACCTTTATAAATATAATTTGAATGAAAATTATGGTATGATTGACTAAAAGTATTTCCAGTTCACATGATTATTTTCTAATTAAGGTACCATTGTTCCAAGTCATTTAAATCCCAACAAAAATGAAATGTGCGAATAAATTATGATACTTATACCATGTCATGATTAAAAATCAGGTTTCCTAAGACTAATGACATGGGGAAATGCTTTATGATAAAGTGAAAAAAAGCAGGCTTAGATATAGTATACTTCTAATTTTTTTAAAATAGAAGATAGAAAAGTGTATAGTGTTACAGAACTATAATGATCAAAACAGGATGGTATTTGCATAAAACTGACCCATAGAGAAATGGAACAGTATAGAGAGCCCAGAAATAAACTCATATATGGTTAATTAATTTATGACAAAAGAACCAAGAAGTGGGAACAGTCTCTTCAATCAATGGTATTGTAAAAACTGGACAGTCACATGCAAAAGAAATGAAGACCACTATGTTATACTATGTACAAAAAGTCAACTCACGATGGATTAAAGACTTGAATGTAAGACCTACACCATAAAACTAGAACAAAATGGGAGGACATTCATCTTGCCAATGGTTTTTTGGATTTGACACCAAAAGCAAAGGTAACAAAGCAAAAATAAACAGTAGGATTACATCAAATTAAAAAGCTTCTGTACAGCAAAGAAAACCATCAGCAAAATGAAAAGGCAATCTATGGAATGGGAGAAAATATTTACAAATCATGTATCTGATAAGGGGTTCATATCCAAAATATATAAAGAACTCCTACAACTCAAGAAAAAAAAATCCAATTAAAAAATGGGCAGAGGAAATGAATTGACATTTTTTCAAAGAAGACATATAAATAGCCAACAGTTACACAAAAAGGTATTCAACAGCACCAATTATCAGGGAACTGCAAATCAAAACCACAGTAAGATATTTCATACTTATTAGAATGGCTATTATCAAAAAGATAAGAAATAACAAGTGTTGGTGAGGATTTGGAGAAAAGGGAACCCATGTACACTCTTGGTGGTAATGTAAATTGCTACAGCCAATATGGAAAAACAGTATAGAGGTTCCTCAAAAAATTAAAAATAGAACTATATGATCTAGCAATTCCATATCTGGGTATCTATCCTAAGGGAAAAAATCACTATCTCAAAAAGTTATCTGCACCCCCTTGTTCGTTGTAGCACTTAGCAATAGTCAAAACATGGAACAACCTAAGTGTTCATCCGCTGATGAATGGATAAAGAAAATGTAGGGTGTGTGTGTGTGTGTGTGTGTGTGTGTAGACTAACATTCAGCCATATATTATTGGAATGGAATATCATTCAGCCGTAAAAAATAAGGAAGTCCTGCCATCTGTGACAACATGGATGACCTTGAGGGCATTATGCTAAGTGAAATACTTTGGACAGAAAAAGAAAAATACTGTGTGATCTCATATGTGGAATCTAAAAACAAAACAAAAAAATGAACTCACAGATACAGAGAACAGATTGTTGTTTGCCAGAGGTGGGGATGCACATTGGGCAAAATGGGTGAAGGTGGTCAAAAGATACAAATTTCCAGTTATAAATCAATCTTGGATGCAAAGAGCAACATGGTGACTATAGTTCACAATACTGTATTGCATATTTGAAGGTTACTAAGAGTATATATTGTAACTTCCCATCACAAAAAAATAAACTATGTGTGGTGATGGACTTATTGTGGTAATCATTTCATAATACATCAAATCATTATGTTGTACACCTAAAACTAATACAATATTATATATCAATTATATCTCAATTTTAAAAAGTGTATAGAAGAAAACCAGTAGTTAATCACTGATAAAGAGTACAAATTTATTTTCTTTTTGAAACTTCTATTGAATGAAACATTTCAAAGAAAATGATTCAGGGTCTTCAAATACTTAATACTTTAAAATACTTGAGACCCATGGTGTGTTAGGTTTTCAATTTAACATAAGTCACACTAAAAATCTTTTAGTTTAGATAAGCTACCACAAAAACAGATACTGACACAAGACAAAAACTGAAAAGGAGAAAACTTTCAGTACTAATTTAACTCATATTGTTCTAGTATATAAAATTATGTACCCCTGCCTGTAAGGACTGACCACAGGTCAATAAATAATTTGGATTTGTTAGTAACTTGCATAAATCTAATTCTGACATACTACTAAATCATACCTTGAGGATAGCTATAAGCTTGAGAAGGATCGACTACCATGTCCATTGAGAAGGAGTTGTGTGATTCCTGAGAATGTTTCTCCATCACCTCTACTGTATCACTGGATGAAGATGATGAAGACAATCCCAGTCTAACATATCTTCCTTTTTTACCACAGAGTGAACAATCTACTGGTGTGGCACTAGGTCCCTTGGGCAGTTGAACTTCATCTCTGTTGTAGTTTCTAACAGCTCCACTGTGATGCACAGAGCGTTCCCGTTGCCATATATAATGGGTTGGAGCAATAGCCATAACCTACGGGGGAAAGCTTTCCTTTAGAATTTTAATAAGATTTTAAAATTTGGTAAAGTTAAGTACAAAAATGACTCACAGCTATCTCTAAAACTAGATCTAAAAACCCAAGTTACTGATGTTAAAAAAAAAAAAAGATATCTCCAGTTAAGACAGTATAGGGGTGTGTGTGTGTGTGTGTGTGTGTGTGTATAAAGTGATTCACTGCTTGAATCCTTAAGACAATACAAAGTACTTAAGTTATTTCAAATATTTCAACCTTCCAGGTTTTTCAGTTCTGAATATTCTAAGTTTGGGATAGATAATACAGTTAGTCCAAAACAACACATAATTCTTAACTTTGGAATATATTTGGTTGAAAATAACATTAAGGTTTCTAACTATGTATGTTAGGCTAATCTTAACATGTTTGCACTTATGTCAAGGGAAATGGTGAATAAGAACATGGGTAAGTTACTTAACTTCTCTGTTCCTCAGTTACCTTATCTGTAATATGGAGAGAATAATAGAGTCTCCTTTAGAGGGTTTTTGCAAGAATTAGATGAGGAATTAATTATAAAACACTTAAGATTCATTGCTACATGTTGGGCTAGATAAAATACTGCCTTTTGAGTCAGGATAGCCTTAGTTCCTTAACGTGGCTCTGCCACTTGCTAAGCTGTAGGATATTGGGCAAGTTACTTAGCTTTTCTGAGGCTCAATTTCTTCATATTTAAAATGGGGATACTATCTGCCTCATAGAAGGGTTATATATGTGTAAAATCCTTATCACATAGTAAGCAGCTGGCAAATGATAGTCATTTAAGAAGTCAAAGTAGGTAAATACACCTACATATGTTGACCCCATGACGTCTAAAATTTCTAAGCAGAGTGTTAGAATGTTATTCTAAGCAAAAATGTTTAGTTGCCGTTATCAATGATCAAAGTAAATGAGAATTGTAGAATTTGTTAGTTAGGCAGTGCCTTATTAATGCCTAAACCAGTGATTTTCAACTTGTTTCAAGTGCTCTGAGTTTTCATAGACTATATCAGGTGTCCCAGGATGGACTATGGGAAGACCAATCAAGCAGAGAACCTCAGTTTAGGGGATTGTGTATAAAATTTCGCTTGGAAAGAAAGAAGGCTTTTGTTGTTAAAAATGAAAACCTTAAACCCCAGATTGAGACCAGTCCACTTAGAAAACAGGGTACCTATGGCCTCCCCGCAAATGGCATAAAGAATGCTAGCTATGCTAATTTTTTAAAGTATATTTTAGGATTGAATTTATTTTATAATCCACTTCTTAAATCCTTCACAAAAATTTTCAACAAACATGTAATAAAGTAACGTAATTTTTTGAAAGTAGATGTAAAGATATTAATTCTAACAATAAATATTTCCATAACAATATAAAACTAGGTTCAGAGCTACCTGAAGTGAGGAAGTAGAGTGTCAGAATTTCTTATTCCTTCCATATTTATCTATTTCTTCCTCAACACTTGTACATCTTTATTTCCTATTTCTGGAATGTCCTCTCCCTTTTGTCTTAGTATTGCTTTTCCTTCAATGCCAAGCATAAGTCCCACTTTTCTAAAAACTCCAGTTTTTAGATTGTACTGTTTTATTGTTAATGCTACATTAGGACTTTAGCATGTGTCTAGTACTCAGATATATCTTTTTATGAATGTAACCAATCTACTTAAAGTCCTCTGGGCAGGAATAGTCTTAAACACCTCTATCAAATGCCTTCCACACAATATTATGTAGTCATTGTATATTTCTTATTGATAGATGAAAATAATTAAGAATTAGGGGCCACTGACATAAACTTCCAACAACATGATTTTTTTAAGAATCCTGTAGCAAAGTCTAGTGAGAAGAGCAGAGAAAAACAGGAAGCAAAGGGGACAAAATAGGTTTAGTAAACCATTCTTTGTATAACAAACGAGGTATCAGTCTCTCTAAATGCTAACCCAGCTAGAAAAATGTATGTACACATACTTGTATACTTTTAAATATGTTTGCATATATTTTATACATACAAATATTAAAATATTATTGTGATAACAGCAAATTGCAAAGAAAACTGTAAGAGGGTCAAGAAAGTGGGATTTTGGTCTTAATTCTATTAGTTCTATGACCTTGGGCAAATTACATCATCTTCTGGGCTATAGGTATCTTTTGAATAATGAGAAATCAGGTCACTTACAGTCCTCAAATTCTGTGATTTATGAAAGTAACTTCTTTGTTTTGTTTTTTAAAGATTTTATTTATTTATTTATTTGACAAAGAGAGGTACTTTGAGAGAGGGAACACAAGCAGGGGGAGTGGGAGAGGGAGAAGCAGGCTTCCCGCGGAGCAGGGAGCCCGATGTGGGGCTCAATCCCAGGACCCTGGGATCATGACCTGAGCTGAAAGCAGACGCTTAACGACTGAGCCACCCAGTAGCCACCGAAAGTAACTTCTTTGAAGCATTAATAGCACTTGATCTACTACAAATGTTATCCTAGTTTTTATTTTACTCTTCTCTCATTTTTAGTGGTTTATTTTGGTGTCTTGATCGGTGTTCCAAAACTTAATACTTGGCCCTGTATTTCTCTATATATTCTACTTCTCTTTGATCTCAAGAGGTAGTATAGTGTGTTAAAAACACTGACTCTTGGGGCGCCTAAGTGGCTCAGTCGGTTAAGCGTCTGCCTTCGGCTCAGGTCATGATTCCAGGGTCCTGGGGTCGAGCCCCGCATCGGGCTCCCTGCTCCGTGGGGAGCCTGCTTCTCACTCTCCCTCTGCCTGCCACTCTCTCTCTCTGTCAAATAAATAAATAAAATCTTTTTAAAAACCCCACAAAACTGACTCTGGAATCAAACTGCCTAGGTGTGAATACTAGTGTGCTGCTTGACTAATTGTGTGACCTTATAGAAGTCATTTAGCCTCTCTGTGCCTCAGTTTCCTCTTCTGAGATTAGCTAGCTAGCTGTAAGAATTGTTGTGAAAGTTAACACATATGCAGTACCTAGAACAGTACCTGACAAATGCTCCCAAAGTATTAACATTATGTTCACCTTGATCTCTTATTATTCTACCAAGCTTTAAACATCACTTATATGTGATGACTCATACTTAACTCATACATGTTGACTATTCACTTATCCAAATATCACCTTAAATTCCTATGTCTGATACCAAATTCCTTATTTTCCCAATAAACCAGTTTGTTTTTTTAGTGATTCCTATTTCCATTATGGAATCCATCACCCTTTCTGTTCTACAGATTTGAAACTCTGAAAGCTCACTCTCCCATGGGCCCTATATCCAACTGGTCACCAAGTAATGACAAGTATAATTTCATAACATTGATTTTTCTTTGGCATCGCTATCTTCAGCACTAGGTTTACACCTTCCTTCCTGAACTATAGCAAGTTTAACAGTTTCCAGTACCTTCCCCATATTGGGTCTCTGCTGCATACGGTCATTGGATTATTTTGTTCAACACTCTTGTTTATATCACATCTCTGCTTTCTAAATTCTAATCTGGAATCGAATAGTAGCTGACAGACAAATCAGCTCGGATGATACTGTGCCGTCTAGGCCAGAGTACATAATAAGAACAGAGAAAAGCTTCCTCTTGATAAAATTGCTACCCTCCATCAAGCATAAAGGGACCGGAAGTGGAGTCTAACTCTTTCTCATCAGATTGGCATATTCCATAATCTGTGAACCAATCTAGAAATTAAGCTATCATCAATCTAAATAAATTCCACCTCAGAGGAGCTGATATCCAAAAAGGTAAACTGATTGTAAGACGATAATAAGGTCAGAATAGGGAAATTGTCTTTACTCTTTTCTGGAGAAGCCCTACATATATTTTTCAATATAATCATACCTCATCTCTTTCCAAAAAAGGATTTGAGGCAGCTGACAAAAAGTAAAAAAAAAAAAAAAAAAAAAAAAAAAAAAAAAAAAATTCATTAAACTAGGACCCAAAAGGGTCCTAGTTTGGCTAAAGGGAAAAAGCAGACATGCCGGTAGTAAAAGGTGATAGAATTAATGTAGTTAGGGATAAAACTTGGCTCTTAGCTTCTTTGCAGCAACCAACGTTAAAAAAAAGAGACAAATTTAAAAATTCATACTATCTGAAAGGAGAGAATAAGTTTTTTGATAGTGGTATATAATGGAAAGATTGCCAACTTTAAGTACTAGCTGGCCCTGCCACTTACTAAATGAATGACAATGGACAAGTTACAACCCTTCTAAGCCCCAGTTTATTCGTCAGAAAAATGGAGAGAATACTTATGCTATTTAAGTCCTTTTTTTAAATGCTATTTAATTCCTGAGAGAAAATAACACAATAGACACAAATGTGTTTTCCAATTAACCAATATAAACAGTGGGAAGCTAGCTGTCAGAGAAAACAGAACACTGGGAAGTCATTCAATGTGAAGTTCTGGGTTTACCACTTAGTTGATGTATGATCTTGAGTAAACCTCAATCTCCTCAGTCCTCAGTCTCATCAGATGTAAAATGAGAATGCTACAACCCTCACAGGTATTTTTGTGAGGATAAGATAATTTACATGAAAATATTTATGAATTTGTAGAGCATAATGCAAATGTAAAGTATTATTATTGTAAGCCAGTTTGTAAATACTATCATAACTTGGGCTTACTTGAGGATGAGACTAAAGAAATGGGTTGGCAGTATGCCAATACCTGGCTCTCAATAACAAATGCATAGAATACTTAACTAAATTTCTAACAATATGTCTTGCCACTTAAATGCATCAAACTTCAGGGCAAAGATGATATAGTACTTCTTTATAACAACCCCCCACAACACTGAACTTAAGTGTCTTACTCCTATGTTAGCTGTTAAATGAATAGTTAAGAGAACAGGATAAAGTCTAGGTAATTTCCTTTCCTATATACCACCATGATTCAACTGTACCTGGTTGGAACAGCCATAAGAAAGCCTATCTACCTATGTGCCCCTGTTGTAAGAGGCAGTGCTAAGTCAGTCTGGTGAAGA